CTGCTATATCGAAGCTCTTTAATAATACATCAACACGAATTTATGGCTTGTTCAACCTGATATTTTCCGACACAGACATCAGCTACTATTTTCTATTTTCTTGAGAACGAAGGCTCGGTTGAGAATTGACACAAGCTAGGCGGAAGTGCGATTCGAAGGCGTGCAAGGACGGTATTGTTGAGATAATAGTAATTGCACGTTTTCTATTCCCACGGTGGTAAGTAGCGGATTCGGAGAATCGATCGCCGATTCGTGGAAGAGAAATCTGCGGGAAGGATTGAGGTTTCCTGGATGCAATTCGCCGGTCGGTGCACGAGTGGCTATGGAAAAAAGGCTGCGATCTCGACGGCGGTTTCTTACAGCCTGGGAGTACAAAGTGAGCGGCGGAGTTTCTTCATTGAGACTGCTCAAAGTTTTTGTTTCATTAAGGACGTAAGATTGCACGATTAACTGAAAACGTTACAAGTGAATGAAGGTGAAAACGTGTTCGATAAAGCGAGGGTAAATACATTTGGCAAAAAAAAATGTATCGATTTCATGTTAAATACGACGGGGAAATATCAATGACTATTTTAAACAGATTAGTCACACGCGATTTTTGAAAAATTCACTTTCAGAGGAAACTATGTAATTATAATTTGACGATCAATCGTGGCATTCCCGGTGTTTCAACCATTATTTGCAACAATTATAGGAATTCGCTGCATAATGTCACGTTGATCAAAGGACCAACCTCTCGTTTATAGTTATTTGATTTTCACTCGTGTAACTCACATAGNGCAGTTTTTGATATTTACGTTAAGAAAGTAATTATTTTTGCTGAGAGTCTGATTATTATTGGGGATTTTTAGACAGAATAAGAAGGCGACATAGTTTTAAACAATAAGTTGTAAGTTAGATTGTAAAAGGAGGAAGCCTACCCAAAACCAAATGCAAGAGCTAATAAAAAATGAATGAGATTCTATTTATTAATTACTGAGCCAAAGGCAAGAGCTAATAAATAATAAATAAATGGACCCTGTTTATCAATTAATGATATGAGAAAGTAAAAGTTTGCTACTGACAAAAATCTACTGAGTAATGATATAAAAAATGAGACTGCAATTACTCCCCGAATCCTGTAAGCTTTTCACGTACAGCAATTTAACGAAGTTCCCGAAAAATCTGGCCCTATCGGGGCAACGGCATCGTTTTTCGGTGCGAATCGCGGAATACGACTGGGTCCATGAAAGTGGACGAGCCGCAAGTCCTTCCTTATTTATTCATTAATTTCCAGAATCGATGTTTGACGACGAGCTCGCGGCTACTTGGAAGCGGAGCGGTGCTGTGCTGGGCGCGACCGTGTGCGCGCCGCCGGGTCCCTCACGGTAGCACACGCCAGTTAGAATAGTGAGCGTTGCCGGCATTCCGGCGAGTAAATTCTTGAAAACTCGTTTGGTCGGTCCGATCCGCGAACCAACTCTCAATCCGCGCCCGGCCCGTGCACCCGCGTGTGCGCGAATGCAAGCGTTTCCTAAATTGGCACTAAATCTCGGCCTTAAATTTTCGGCCCCATACCGTCTCCACGAAATATCTTCAGGACAATAAAATTTTCTGCACTTCTCAAAAGGTTGATTCATTTTTTAATTTAAATTACATATAATAAATGTCCCAATTTCTATTCACATTACAGTTTTTACTAACTAGCTTAAGATTGTATATAAAATTATAGAAAAAAGGCAGTGAGTAGAAATTTTATTGTGAACAGACGCTGGGACATTTATTATATTTTCTTTCAATTTTTCTGAGATTGGAGTAGATTAATCTAGTTGACTGTGTGTCTGTGTGTAAATTTATAAACTGACACTCTACATACATGAGATGATGCTTAATTGCTTACTGCTTGAAAATTGGTAAAAATAAGTGAAGTAGAGAAAAATCGTATTCTTAATTCCACAAATGAATAAAATTCCCAGTTAGACTAACAGTCTAATAAATATGAGACTACTAGCCTATTGGGAACTTAAAAACTGGCTGTTTAGATAAGAGTCTGCTAGTCTATTAATTAGACTGGGAATTGAAAGACTGGTACTCTAGATATGAGATATGGTGCTTAAAAGTTGAGAATTGAAATGAAATAGAGAAAAACCTTATTCCTAATAATTGAAGTCTTCAAATTATTGCTGAGGGAGAAATGACGTATGACAGTATCGAACTAGTACATTTGGCATAGAAAGAGAGAGAGAGAGAGAGAGAGAGAGAGAGATGGGAGTGCTAAAGTGAAGCCCTAGTATCGATTTTCGTCCCTTGAATTCAGCATACATGGAACCTGACCACGGTACAACACTTTCTCCCCTTTGCAGCATCCATCTGCAGTACCCATCAAAGTTCCTAGCTTCCATTTCCGAGGAAACTTAGTAATATCCCTATAATAATTTATTGATCACTGTTTCATGGTTTAATTATAAAAACGTCGCACATGAATAAATTAATCTATGTGAATATTAATGTTTATTGTCATCTCCAAACAAATTGTATGAAATTGTAAAGTTGCACTATTCAAACTCACTATGCTATCATTGAACGTATCACGTGTTTAAGAAAGTATTGCAAATTATTCCACAAATAAATGATGGTTTTCTTCCTTTGGATCCATGCTTCTATTATCGAGGGTCACACTCAGGAATTATGGTTAATAATAATAAATAACAGAGATCGACCTGAGCCGCGGAAATTCTCGATCGTACTACTTAAGAAACGCATTATAAAAGTTACGGACGTGTTGCACGAGATCGCGTGACTAGGCCGCGCGGCGACGCGCGGGGTGAAACGGAAGGCGTGCTGGTTGCAGCAGCGATGTGCAGACAGATGGGTGTGGTCTCTGCAATCACGATGGGCGTGGTGCTTTCACGGCGTGCTGCCACTGCACCCCGAGTGCACCAGCTCCGCGTTACTTACGTTATTTCCTCTCAAACGTGTCACCGCATTGCGCCCGCACTCATCTCGCGCGTCTTCAATTTGTCGAAATTTCGGTAAACTGGTAGCAATCGTTAAATTTCTGGTTTTGAATACCAAAGAGAGTAATACACGTAGAATCTCGTAACATGACGACTTTTCATCTCATATTTCGATGAAGAGGGAAAAAAATAAAAAACAGAGGTCACAGCACGTATTCCTCTGGAAGCTATGGAACGTTTGCAAATTTTTATCGTATAGCTTACGAGTTATTCGAAGACTTCGTGTTACAAGACTCACCCTGTATACAAATTTTTCTTAACCCCCTCAACTGCCATTTACTTTCAGGCAGGTTCTTATATTGGAAATCGAAAACTACCCCCGAAGTATATCATAAAAGTTACCTCCCAGGTCTCCCTATTTTTAAGCAATTTATCCAGCAACACGAGCTGTACAACAACGATTAATTGTATATTATTAAAATATGATCTAATATTTAAAATCGAGAACTACCCTCGAAATATGTTATGGAATTTAATTCCCAGGTCTCACTATTCTTAAGCAATTTATCCAGCAACACGAGCTGTACAACAACGGTTAATTTTATATTATTAAAATATGATCTAATATTTAAAATCGAGAACTACCCTCGAAATATGTTATGGAATTTAATTCCCAGGTCTCACTATTCTTAAGCAATTTATCCAGCAACACGAGTTGTACAACAGCGGACAGCGCCGAAAACACGTGAGAAAAAAGAGGTACATTAGAGATCGGTGGGACGCGAAGCGAAGGGTTGCCAGAGCGGGGCTTTTTACCCGCGATTTACATGATACGTCTCGTCTCTCGGAGGATCGACTCGACATCAAAGTTGGAAGGCCGAGCGTCGTTTGCGGCGGCCGCGGCCTAGCCTGGAGGTGGAATGGCGCGCAGGTAGAACGCAAGAAAGGTCGGTCGGCCCCTCAGATGCTCGCAATTAATAAGAGCTTAATGGGGGCCGATATAGCGTTGCCACGCTCGCCGGTACCCGTCCGTTTCTTGGCCGTCTCTCCCACCGAAATCATCGATGCCGACGACAAAAAGCCACGCCACGGCCGTAAAACATTTCGCTTCTACTATGTTTCGTTGAGACCTGATGCCTACGCTACGTCGACGCAAAAAGGGCCGCCCTCTTCTTTCCTGATTCTCGCGGTCGAATTGTGCAAGAGAAGAAAGTTTGTAACGCAGCGCGGAGATTAGAAGAGGCGACAGACACGAAGGAAAAATTTCGGACCAGTCATTTCTGGATGAAGTAGGAAGAATAACGAAGCATATTCTTTAAAGAATTATGACATGTAAATTCTTGACAATTTTTGCTCTGATTTACCAGAATAATTTGGTTATAATCACATAAATTGATTGTACATACGAATATAAAATCGAACTGTATGAACTCATATTTTGCACTATTTTTACGTGACAGAACCAGGCAAAAATTTCTCACTATCTCTTCACTTTCTAATTTCATATGAAATTATAAAAGACAGTAAGTAGAAATTGGAACATTTATCATACCATAGGTCACGAATTCATTTGGAATCATCAATGAATGATTTAAAACTTGCCTAATCAGTCTGAAGAGCCCATAGGCATCATACAATGTTACGTATTTTGATCATTGACTGTTTTCATCTTCTGAAGACCGAAGGTCTTCCCGAAGGCCATTTCCTTCAGAGAAAGTCGAGGCTCGAAGGGGTTGGAAATAAGATTCGCGAATGTACTCACCAGAGAGGGGTGCGTAGGGGCCGTGCGGGTACGGGGGTGCGGTGGAAGCGTCGACGAGCGACTGCGACGGCGTTGCCGAGGGCCAGTCCTTGTAGGAGGCCGCGGGGTGCGCGTGGTGCGCCGCATGAGGGCCGAGACCTCGCGCAGCGCCTAAGAGCAGACCGCCGTAACTCGTCACCGCCGCCATGTTCGGATGTTGATAGTCGTGCACCCTGTAAAACAGATCGTGGAAATCGTATTCGACGTCTATCGTCACGGAAACTTATTGCCCTGTAGCGATTTACTGGGTGCAAAGGGATGGCGGCTGGTACGAGACAGAACGGGGGTGAACGCGTGAAAGGAGATAAAAAAAGAGTCATGGAAATGAGAAGGGGAGAAAGAAAAAGGGGAGAGGATCAAAGAGAGAGAAAGAGAGAGAAAAAGAGAGAGGACACTCCGATATCGTGCCTCTTCTCAAGAACGGTGACAGACTGGTAATTTATACGGCAACCGACGCGAGATCAGCGCTAAAGATCTCCCGAGCGGAGGTACCTGCTCCCGACGGTTTTCTGTATTTTTCACGTCTCGTTTTCTCTTTGCCGCCACTCTCTCTCCGTCTCTCTCTCTCCGTTTCTCCTTCTCATCATTGCTTTCGCTCCGCTCTGGTTCTACCCTCCTCGCTTTAAGATTGTACGAACCCTTAAATGAAAACAATGACGAAACACTGAAACTTCGACAATTATATTAGCTACTACATTAATAAGACACTGTAGAAAATTTTTTCTAAAAGTTAATCGCTTCAAATATCAGATATAACTTTTTGTCACATTTCTTAAGAGATCCTACGGCTCATACAATCTTAACAGCATTTCTCTATTTCTCGTGATTTTTCTCTCATATTTTTATTCTATTCTTTCTCTTGCCACGTCTTGTACACGCCACGATATTCGTGTCGCGCCTGCTGGAGGTGGACTTTTAGAATGCGTGAAGAATCAGTTGCATTATCGGTCGTTAATCGAATCCCCAATCCCAAATTTTGCTGATTTATCTCATGCGATGCGACTCACTCGTGAGGCGTGTGCTTGACCGAATTTGAGACGGAGCACGCCACATGGCGAAGCGATTCGATCAAATACTCCACTGGGATTCGTCTAATTATGCACCGTGTTAATGAGAATTAACGTGCAGAACGGAACAGAAAATATTATAAATATATTGCGGATTTTATACGAAAACTGAATATGCAAAAAATATAAACACTGTTATGTATAAAAATATAAAAAATATCAAAAGCAGAATGTATATTGAAATATTTAAATGTCAAGAAAAATTGTTTTAAACTGCTACCATAAATACTTTATTTTACATAAAAATCCGCAATCTAATGGCAAATTATGATTATAAGTTATGAATAGACCGCGCATGTTTATGCAAAGTAAAACATTAAAAAATGTGTTCTAAAGACTGAAATATGAGTACAGCTTTTGATATCCTGAATAATTTCATGCATTAAACACAGCATTTATAGTTCCTGTACAATCAATTTCCTTATAAATTGCATAAAACCTAGAGAACTGATTATGAGATATCGGATACTTTCAAGCTGACAGGTAATACGTGAATAAAATGTTAACCAACGTAGGCACTGATCTAAGAAATTTTTTGAAATCGCGATTGGTAAAAGACGTATAAGATTTACGACTATTAAGGAATGCGAAGGAACTACTAATTAATTCGAGCGCGAGTACCTCGAAAATAACCGAGGAAATAGGATTAGGACAAATTTTCTTAAGTATAAAACGAAGAATGTTTGGAACGCTAACCTGTGGTGATACTGTGAATAATGCGAATGCCATGGATCCGTTGGATACTCGTACACCTCGCCGGGATGCTTCCAGAACGAAGGGGGGAAGTTCCTCATGGACATAGGAGAGATGTTCTCTGCAAAAAGATAAAGTTTCCTCAGTACCGATACATCCTTTACGTCGAATCGATGAATATTTAAATATTCAGCATGTTTCAAACAATAACACATATTTCCATGGCTTAGATAAAAAGTGACTGATCAAAAGACTTTTAAACTGAAAATACATCCCCTGAATATTATGACACACATTACTTTATCTGACATTCTATAATCTGGAATATACGCTTATCTCCTATCACTATAAATTAGAGGATACCTGAAGTGTTCCAGTATTTGCATTTTAAATTAGCAAGTCATGAAATGAAATCGATAGTTAGTTTACACTAATACATTGAGGCAACTTTTTCTACGAAATACGAATCGCAGTATTAACGGAAGAACAGGACGTAGTGAAAGGGGAATAAAAATAACGGTGAATATCGCTGAGCCAGTCGTAATCGATTCACGATCGATTATATTTATCTGCAGCCTTGATAGATCGGGTTATTTTTTATTCGAAGGTTGAACGAGTCGGCTGGAATGTTTATTAAAATATTTGTATCGTTTCCCACGGGCCTTAGCACGCGATTCTTTCGGGGCTGGGCTGACGATAAACGGGTAGCCGGATCCCACGGGATCGAACCGCGCGACAGAAAGGTACCGCTCGGTTGTTTTACAAGCGACCACTCCGAAGCCAGAAGCTTGTCGTGTATCCTCCTCCGCGAGTCTCCTCCGGGTCCTTGGTCCCGGGATTCCTTTTTCCCTCTCCGAAACTCCTTCCTTCGCCCAATCCAACACACATATCCGAAAGCTGAATCAACCAGCCGACGATTTATGTATACTTCTAGTTCTTCTTCCTTGATCCCATTCCCACTGCGACGTCGACAAACGCGTCGAACGATTTTTTATACATACGCTTACTCGAGCGATTTATAGCTTCATTGATGCAATTAAGAAAATGTTGAAATATGCTCAGTGCATGATTTGTTGTTTTTTTTTATGCCAGACCTACCGACAGTCTGTTTATACTAATACAGATTTTATGCATTTATAGGAAAATGGTATGTATAGAAAATGTAAAGAATTCC